GCAAATATCTCAGCAACGTTGTGGTTGTATTTCGCTTAGTACCCTGCCGCGAAATTATAGTAGGCAGAAAATAAAAAGGTATAACACATTGTGATTTCAACTACAGCCGCAGCTTAACTGGTTTCTATGCCGATTTGGGCGCCCCAGATCAATCCCGCTGACGGGTGATTGCTGATGGCACACTGATCCATAGAACTAGCCGAGAGATTGGCGAAACAAAGGGCCCGCATGATGTGGTGGTGAACTCGTTAGCCCCCGGAAAGGGCAATAGTGCTTTCGCTCCCCACCGCAAACACCTGCCGTCCGAAGTTTTGCAAATATCTCAGCAACGTTGTGATTATGAATACAGTTCAAGACGATCTCTCTGTGCTTTTATGAGTTCCCAAGCATTATACGTAACAACTGACACATCCCGTAATCATCGTTGTTCGGCTTCAATGCTGTAGTTCCCCATATAGTCGAACCACTTTTCGTTTTTACCTAAACTCGTTCAGTACCAACTTAGAATTCGTGATATATGCAGCCTTGAGATAGTCATGATACACTTTCGTAGACCATCACTGTCCAACAGTGGCTTCTGTAATAAGGTTGTGGTGCTTCTACCATTTTGTAATAACGATCTACCTAAAACGCTAGATAACTGGAGAAGTATATTCACGGTTTGCAGGACTGTCTTGGGAGATTGTCCCCAATGGCAGTATAATGTGCCTTGGTTCCAGTACAAAATACACTAGCTCAAAAACCACTGAAATGTAACTTAAATGGAGTGAAATGTAACTAAGAAACAGCTACAGCTTTTCATACCCAGATATATTAAACCAAAAGCTGATACAACACTGTACAACTGACCAGGTATCATCTACGGAAAGTATCAGAGCTACGTACTTTGCCACGTTAGTCCACCAGGGAAGTGACGGCGGAATAAAAGCAAACTAAAAACTAGAAATGGTTTTTAACTTTCTTTTATTTTCAGGATGTTAGGATCTTCAAAACCAATTAGTCCCTGAAAGAATTTGAATCGTCACTTGATCTATTTCGTGCCCAAGATTAATCGTTATCTCCGTTTTTCGAGGATGCATGTAGCGCAGTAGTTAGAGGTGGACAACAGTGGTTCCACCCTGTATTCCAGACTCACCCAGCCTTCTATCCCTACGGGATCGGCCAATCGATACCAGCTTTATCTGCGGGGATAAAGACACCAACATGACAGGAAGGCCACCGTTCGTCACTTTATTCGCCTGATATGAATTCAGTCACCTCTAGCGATGCTTGATTAAGTCGAATGCATTGTGCCTCTCTCAGCGAATGATCAACGTCGAGAGCTTTACTCTTCATTCTTCGTCAACTTATTTCGGACACTATTAAGACGGATAAAAGATAAAGCTTTCGGCGTTAATCATTTCCTGAGAGATGCGCCATGCATCCAACTTCATTAAGAATCATTTGAGGTGATTGAATGCATACCTGGCCTACACAATGATTCGCACTGGTCTATCGATGTATCCAGTCAGTGCTGCTATCCTCTCAGACAAGTCTGGTAGTAATTTGCCGACCTTGGAGGGATGGAAGGGATGGTGAACCTGGGCATGGAATCAATTCCATGCTCACTACAGGGCGCCCCTAAGCACTGCGCTACGGAAGCCCCATTACTACATAAAACTCTGGAGGGTTTTAGACTACGAATCAAGCCTTGTAATAGTGACAACCTAGAAAATTATCGCTAAGAACCTTGCAACTAAATCATGCAGCCGATTCTTTTCCTAGTGACAACTAACAAATCACTAAATCAGTTTCAGTTTGATATGATCTTTACCTAAAACATTTTCCCTTTCTCAAATATGCATATATCAGTATTCCAGATCAATGTTTAAAAGATCCCTCTACTGATTGTCTCGAATGTTCCTCAGCCATTGTTCTGAGCAAAATCACAACTACAGCCAGCCATGGTGACGAAATCAGTTTCTTTAGGCACGCATTTGCTTGTGGACCTTAAGACCAAGTCTCTTAACGCTTTAGCAAATATGCTCATCACTATATATGCTATATATATATGCTCAGCGTCATCACTCTGCATGGACTGGGTCCAATGCGTATGGTCCGTAATTTTCCCCATAAAAGATAAAAGGACAAAGCTCGCCGTTGACCTATTCCTGAAGAATGCGCCATGCACCCGACTTCACTCAGCATCGTTTGAGGTGATTGAATGTACATTTGGACTTTACAATGACTCGTGGTGGCCTACCGATGTATCGAGCCAATGCTGGTATCCTTCCAGACAAGTCCGGTACCGATTTACCGGCCCTAGAGGAATGGAAAGCTTGGTGGGCCTGAAGCGCAGGGATCGATCCCATGTGTATCACAGGACGCCCCCAGCCGCTGCGCCACACTCACACCATTTTCCACAAAGAAAAAATAATTTAATAGTTCTCTTATTATCAACTCTCTACGTAAAATGATCAGGAGTATCCCAGTAGTCATGGTGACAAAGGAACAAAATAAATGCTCTCTACGTAACGTAGTGTGCAGAAGATAAATTCTCCTATACCAGGCAAAAAATCTACTACTTGAGCTATTGATTCAATACAAAATGAATCATAGATAAAGCCTTTATATGAACGACATCAATCTGAAAGAACAGGCATCGAAACCAATAGATACAACAGCGACTGCATCACTTTCGGAGAAATCGGTCCGCGCCGCCTTTCCTGATTCAGGGAGGTCAATCGCGACGCAGTAGCGTTGCGGATAGTTGTGTCACTTTCGGCAGCGCCCAGTGGTCATAGCGAGGTTGTTGGCAGACACGTTTACTTTACGTTAAGGTACTTATGGCCATTGAAATGTGTTAAAGTTATTAAGTGTATGTATTTTACCCTGTTATCGATGGAATAGTATTGATCTGCTCCTCAAATTCGTACATGGCTTGTTGGCCGTATCGTTATTTGTCGTTATTGCTGTGGGATTTTACAGAATGGCCGATCCAGTCGCTGATTTTCTTGCTCGTGAACAAGATATGCTTGCCGAGATCGATGGTGTTCCAATACCTCCAGCAGGTGTAGCCGCTGATGCGACACTACCTGTACCTGCTGCAGGTAGTTGTGCATTGTGTTCACTCCATGTCTTCTTTGTCTAAGATAGGATGTAGACTTTATATATGTGAAAACCTACTATGTAAGCGTTTGCCGTCAAACCTGATATGATCAGCAATTGCAGATGAGTTCGGTGCCATGGCAGTGGGTCCTCCGTCGATTGGTGGTGCCGATTCTGGCGTAGATCTTGTAGGCATGGATTATCAAGCAACCCCTTCAAGTAAGAATAATGGAGATTATTCGTAATGTATTTTTGTTCGCATGTTTTCATAAAATCTCGTATCTGTTACTTCTGGTGAACTGGAATATCCAGGTGGTATCCGGTGGTATAAAATATTATGATTCTCCACTATAAAATATTAAATGAAGCGATCGTCATAGTGGTAGTGGAAATCAAGTCATTCATTATTGTTGAAAATATGGAACCCAGGTTTTATCGATGATTCGTGTTAAGGATTTTTCCTCATGGTTAAGTCGGTTTATCACTTGTTTGTCTATGTCACATCAAAGGAAGACAAGAACGGGGTGTAGGGAAAGTAACATTGAATCAAAATAGTTGATAGAGATTATAAGCCCTCATGTCGTGCGACTAACTGTTCAACATCACTGTGATGAGCTCTGAGATGATTACTACAGCGCTTGGACTTGCTATCACTTGCACACCGGCGGAGCGCTGAGTACAAGGTTTACGTTTAGAGTGGATGGTTCACTATATTATATACATATACATATGTATATACATGTTCAATGATAAAAGTAGCATTTGATTAGAATTTAGCGGCAGGATATAGAGCTTTGTTCCTCTTCCCTTTCATTCCTTCACTATTCTTTCTATTTTTCATTCTTCTTCAAATCATTCTTTAGCTTTCAGATGGTGCGTTGTACATGGAACATTCGGTGGTGTTTCTTAACCCAGTTAACGTAGCCTACAACAACTTAAAATTGTTGCCCTTATTCTTAATACGAATGAGAATTATCGATGTGGACTGTTCCAGAGCGTAGAGGCAGCCAAGATAAAGCGGTGTTTAGCTTGTAAAAAGCAAGAAATTTGCGAACCTCGTCTATAGAAATTGTATGGCTTTAGAAGCTAGAACTATTAGAGGTACAGCCAGCTTAGCAAAGTTCAACTTGCAGTTCCACTGGTTAATGGGAACGGTGTGAACAGTCAGCATTCGGCGGCCAGTTCTAAAGAAGCGTCACCGGTTCCATCTTTAACACGAGTTGAAGCTGAGAATATACGCAGATGGCGTGAGCAGCAGAAGATTCTTCTCGAGAAAAAAGGTTAGTATTTTTGATGGTTCAGGGAACAAAAAGTAATGGAGAATCTTTTATCGAAGTTATGATGATTTTCGAAAGGCTTTCTAACGTTTTAAGGCTTTTCTTTTGTTATTTATTAGTTACAGATGAAGCTGAAGAAAAGAGAAAGAATGAGCTCAGGAATATGGCAAAGAAAGAATTAGAGGAATGGTATAAACAGCGAGATGCAGCATTGAAACTAACAAAGGAAGCTAACAGGTAGTTTGTGGATACGTTATGGATTCTTCCGGTTATTTTGGGTTGTTGATGAAAGTTGCTTCTCTGACGGTATCCTATTAATGGGTCTTTCAATTGTAATAAATACCGTACATGCTCTAAAAGAAAGCTCTCAGCGTTGATCAGTCACTGAAGGATAAGCCACCTATTCGACTTCATTAAGAATCGTTGGAGGTGACTGAATGTATATCTAACTCGATGGCTTTATAATGACTCGCGGTGGGCTACCGATATATCGAGTCCGCGCTGCTATCCTCCCAGACAAATCCTATACCAGCTTGCCGACTTCGTAGGGATAGAAGGCTTCGTAGGACTGGCGCGCGGAGATCGACCCTATGCGTATTGCAGGGCTCCTCGGACCACTCCGCTGCACATGCACATGCATGCTCTGTCTTTGAAAAATCTTTCTTTGTTATATTGTATCATTCTCTGCTTTTAATGTGCAGGAAAGCCGAAGAAGAACATTTGGCTGCTTTTGGTCGTGAACAAGGAGAAGGAGCACAATGGGACGAAATAGCACGACTATGCGAGGCAAAAGCTCAGCAAAAAGGAGGAAAAGACGTTAGTCGTCTAAAAAGCCTCTTACTTCATCTCAAGGATCATCATCGCAAGTGAGTTTTATTTCTGAGCATTTGCTAGGAAGTTTTCTTGGTCTTGTGAAATGTTTTCCAAACCTTAGAGGCCTCCGATACGACTGTTTCAGATAGCTTACCCTGAAGCTGGCGTTGTTTCACCTGGTGGTATATGTTTACCAATATTTTTTCTTACTTCACTTTGGCTTAATATTGCTTCCTCGACGATTTCAGCTGTAGCATCACTTCCTTTACACACAGTTTTTCTCCAATGAAGTTTAAGTTATAATGTGTTTAAATGTATACAAAAACTCATAGAATTTTATTATGTGTCCTTCTTATGATACTGACCTAGCTAGGTTCTCTGATTTGCGCTGTCTGTTTTCTGCCATTCACCATTTCGTTTTGTTCGTTTATAAAACCAGCATAATGTTTGATGGATGACGTCCTTAAGCGATCAACGTTTGAAGGAGCGGGCTGTTGTCGAGATGGTTTAACTCGGAAACTATATAAATGTATTAGTTTAGTCCCTTTTTCTCGTTTTATTAGTCAGTACACCTCTACCAAAAATGTTTTATCTCCCATGTTTGTGATATGTAGAGAGTAAAGCCAGTATCTCGTCTTTGTTGTGGTAAAGGTTTTCTCTTTAGCGTTCCAACGTCTGTTATTTCATTCTAAGCGAATCGTTATCGCTGGTTGCTTTTATTCATCTGTTTACTTCTTTGAGTGATTAAGGACAAAATTAGCTAAATGCGATATTTCTAGGGATCTTGTTCTTATGCTTAATATTACTGGAAGTAGCTTTTCCCATAACGTCAATCAGAAAGTGCTTTTTGTTTCAATTGATTTAGGCACTTGATTCGGTTGGTTTTTTAATTAGTCCAGCTGCTTTATCGAACATTCCTAGGTGACACTATGACGGCTAACTGTGTGCTGCTTTAAGTAGCAATGGCGTATTTTAACCCTTCCAGAGGTTTAGCGCCTCATTGTGGCTTGGAGGTGTTCTTGGCTTTCGGGTCGCGATATAGAGCAAGATGAATGTGCCCCCTAGCAAGGCGTCCCAAGCTGAGAAGGAGTCCGGCGTTTCCATCAGGAAGCCTAGCTAAGAGTATACCAATGGATCCACCACCGCCCTAATATCGAACTAGTTGCTTGGTGGCAAATTTCCTTTTGATCCACAAAGACAGCGACTGCATGTGGTGGTGACGATTTGGGGCAGACTTTAGGTAGACTAACCTCAGAACTCCAGAGAAATACAATAGGTGAACCAGCAAAACTCCAAAAAGTGGAAAATATGCTGGGAGCTCTATAACCATTGAGGACGTGATATCCAATTGTTCATGAAAATGGGTATATTTTAATCAGAACGTCGACCTGTGGTTTCTTGTTTATGGTTTGTTCGAAGGTTGCGGTAAAAAAGAGTTTAGGCTGGGTGCATTTACCAAAATTCAACTTTTCTCACACGGTTCGAGTGTTGTTGGTGATTAGTAACTTCAATCATTCTTTAGCCTAGATAGACCTTCAACGACGACGCATCTTCAGAGTGTTACCAGTTGGTGGGAACATCTAAATACGGTGATTCGAATACAATTCACGTCGGATACGGTACGGAATCAGTACTTGCGGTTCTTTATATGCTTAGGGGAAGCCGTTTGTGGACAGGATATCAACTCAAAACGGAACTTCTGTAAAAACGCAAAGCTTTCGGCGATGATCAATCTATGGGTGATGCGAGATGCATTAGAGACTATCTGTAGAGGCGATTGAATGCATATCTGAGCTATACAACAACACGCGTGGCCAACCGTCGTATCATTTCAATGCTGTTATCCGCGCAGGCTAGCTCTATAAATTTGCCAATCCCGGTGAGACTGAAAGTCTGATGGACTCGGAGCGCGGGATTGAACCCATTGCTGCTGTAGTGTGTATTGAAGGGAACCCTCAAACCACTAGGCTACACTTGCGGTAAGGTTTGTGTCCAGCACGTAAGTCTCAACTTATGCAATATCTTCTGTGCTCGAGGTTTGCTAGTGCCATAAAGTAGAACCGGACGTACATGAGCAGTAATTTCTCCTTCATGTCAGCATTCCTTTCGCTGCGATGGAACATTGGCAGGCACGGACCAGGTTTGATGGATGTTCTTGAATCCAGCAGCTTTCTGTGACCCAGCACCGAATTCCGTTTTATAAATTTGTGATATAGATGGCAATGAAGGTAGTAGTCATATAAATTATTGACTTGTTACGCCCGTAGGTGTATTTTTAAGGTTGTTGTCGCATGTGTTTCTTATCAACCTAGTATATAACTCAGTTTTTAAGGAATAAAAAAGGGAGCAAAACGACACTGCAGCGTTCAGAAACTCAATTACTCGTTTTGCATGTCTCCTCATGAATGGATGGTGGAAACAATGGTGGGTATTGTATCAATATCAATTGTACAATGTGGTACTGTTGAATTTGTCACTCTGTCACCTTTATTTTTATATGAGGGGCGTGTGTGGCGCAGTCGTCGGAGGCGTCCTGTAACACAAACGTGGAATTGATCCCCGCACCCATGGCCCACCAAGCCTTCCATCCCTCCGGGGTTGGTAAATTGATACCAGATTTGTCTGGAGGATAGCAGCACTGGTTCGATAAATCAGTAGGTCACCGCGAGTCATCATGAAGGTATGATATACATTCAATCACCTCCAACGGTGCATAGTGAAGTCGAATGCATGGCGCAGCCGTCAGGGGTTGATCAACGCCGGGAGCTTTATCCTTTTATTTTTATATTTGTTTTTAAACTGTGAGGATTGGTTTCATGGCACTTGTTAATTAGTGTGAAGACATGTACACATTTTTACTTCTGAGTTCCACTATCGAATTGAATGATATAACACGTTATCAGTAGTACTTGTATGCATGTCATGTTATGAAGCGAGCACGAAGAGCCTTCGTTGTGTCACCTTGAGGATATCACCTTTATGGCCTTAAACTGTGAGTTTTTCATACTCTTTAAGAGCCTTCTGCCGAGGAGCTGCTTGAGCTGGTTGAAAAGCAAGATATATTAATAGACTGCCTTTTACAAAAGTTGGAAATGCTCGATTGTCAAGTTCAACTACTTCGGGACTTTGATTCTACTAAGGTATAGATATTTCGAAATGTTCATTTTGGTTCGCCTTAACAGCGGGGTAGTATGAAACAAGTCGTTGAATATTTTAGGAAAGTTCTTTTATAATGTAGTGGTTTTTATTCACTGCCTATTCTTTTTATTCATGGCAGGGTATGTTGTGAGATATAACCACAATGTCTGCGGTGGGGAACGAACGCGCTATTGTCCTTTCCGGGGAGTAACGCGTTCACCACCACACCATGCGGGTCCTTCGTTTCTCCTGTCTCTCGGCTAGTTCTATCGACTTTTTGCCATCAGCAATAACCCGTCAAGGGGATTGATCTAGGGAGACCAAATCGGTATTAAACCCAGTTAAGCTGAGGCAATAGTTTTAATCACAACCTTAGCCTTTTTATTTACTGCCTATTCTTCTTAACGGTAGGGTATTTTTGCGAAATGTAACTACTATAATGCTGAGATATTTGCAAAACTCGAGACTGCAGGTGTCTGCGGTGGAAATCTAACACGCTGTCACCCTTTATGTTGGGTAACGTGTTCACCGCCACACCATTCAGGTCCTACGTTTCGCCGGTCTCTCAGCCATGTTTCTTTTTGTTGAAATATGTGGAAGTATGACTTGGAGTTGAAACTTGAAAATCGTTTGATACGTTCTGTTATTTATAGGAGCGTTTCGAACGTGAAAAAGGTGAACTCATCTCAGATGCTCAGAGGAAAGTTGCGAGTGCTTTAGCTGCGGTAGACATGTTGCACGTAAGTCTTTTTGCTCCTTTAACTACGTTGGTTTGTCCGGTTTTCAGGTTTTTACTTAGGTCCAAAACGAGAAGTTGGTAAAGGAGTTGGACGAACAACAAAGAAAGAATAACGACGATATGCCGGTATCTTCTATAGTGAAGCTACAAAATAGAGTGAAAGAGGTAATTCTATGAATGTTGTATTTGTTCCCAAAAAATTACTAACTTTGATATTTGCATGTTCATTACATGACCCACCCATCTGTGTTTCGCCGTTGATGTGTGTTTTCATGGATCTCGAATACCAGGAATTTTTCAAGCATTTCAACTGTGGTATCTAACTTAATGTTGTCTAAGTTGTGCAATGTTCACAGTTCTGTTCTATGGTGTCTAATGTCTAATAATGCCCATAGTGCCATGTTTTATAGTGAACATTGTGATTTCAACTGCGATTGAACTTAACTGGGTTCAATGCCGATTTTGCTTCCCAGATCAATCTTATTTTACGGGTGATTGATGATGGCATTGATAGGCAGTAAAGTAGATGAGAGATAGGCGAAACGAATGGACCGTATGATGTAGTGGTGGACACACTAGCCCCCTGAATGAGTAATAGCGTGTTCGATTCCCATCGCAGACACCTGCGCTCCGCAGTTTTGTATATATCTCATCATCATTATGGTTATCTTGTTATGCTTCAAAAAATATCGTTTGTCGTGTTTTGTTGCAAAGAATTTCAACAAGGTTGATGAGTCAACATCTCAAATGCTTACCGATGGGCTAGGAGGTCCGATGAATCGGGCGCGAGGTTAAAGTTCTCTCAGATAATCAACTGCTTCTTTGTACTCTGCTTAAGCCTCTTTAGTTCTTTTGTGCGGTGCTCTGTTGACGTCATTTATTACGTTTACGGAAAGTCATAAGCACATTTAAGATGTGATCTTCGTAGTGACAAAGCCATCATCTTAGTTTGTTCTCCATCCTACAAAGGTTCTTTCTATTGTTGGGGCTTTCTTTGGTTTTATTCGCATCCTTCTCCTTTTCTTACGACATTAAGGTCTTTAAGTATGACCTCTGTTCTTTTTTTCTTGTAATTCTTAACTGTCCGTTATTTTCTAAATGACAGTGGAAATTTGCCATTTTGGAGTAGAGCGAATTTATTATTTACGTACCGAAATTGACTATTTACAGGTTGAATGAG